TTTGATTGCAGAGATGCAAAATCAGTATAAAATACATCAAAAATGGCCAGAGATGTGGTGAATTTGAAGACCAAGTCTTTCTGAGAAAGTTTTACAGTGCAAACAGTCAAAATTTCAAATCGCTCATTTGTCATTTATATTTGATTTGAAAACTGGTTCAACCAACCAACCAAATTATATATATATATATATATATATATATATATATATATATATATATATATATATACACACACATATATATATTATTTGGAAAGGAGAAAGGGGAAAAGAGAAAGCAAAAAGAGGAAAAAAGAGAGTACATTTACAGTATACACTGAACCACAATCATAGGAGGAGGACATTAAGAAATTATTTCAGAATGACTGTATGTACAGTATTTATCTGTGAGTATGTGAGCAACTAATTATGAGCATCTTCAAAACTTTTACAGTCTAAGTAGTTAGTGAATTTAACTTCCTGCTGTTCAAGGCCCAGAAAGCTGAACAAATCTTTCCGTTCTGATATCTCTTTACATTGCTCAAGTTTTTTTACTTTAGCGCCTACTCCACAATGTACTGGCTACATATAAGTACAAACACACACATTTTTGCCTTAACAAAAAATCTCAACATTGCTGTGCTTCCGCTCTGTGAGCCAAGTGAAATGTCAGAAGTCAGTGGGCCTTGACTTCTAAGACTCTAGACAAGCACAAAACCACCACAAGAATCATTCTGTAATCACTGATTCTTCACCAACAGCTGTAACCCACAAGCATGCATGACATATCTGCCATGAAGGAAAAAAGGCAAAATCAAACCTAACCTATGCAGCAAAAGCGGTGACATTGGTAGAGGATGGGTAGCGAGTGCAAAGCAGGGTCGACACAGGGAACGATCCATTCAGATCCACTGCAGTGCTAATGACTGGGTGCTCTCATTATCTCCATCATTACCAGACCTTCATTTAGCATATTGTGCTCAACAGCTAGTGCACGAATTAATCAAGATTTCTCACTCTGGTAAGACAAGCTTCCTCCTAATGGCGCACTTCAAACATGAAAGCACGATTCACAGTACAGTCCATCTGCAAGGTTAAATACAAACCAGGCCTCCCAAATTCTCTCTGTGCTTCAGTACATTGTTACCTAAAGACACTGCAAGGACCAGACAGTCAAGTTAGTGTCAGCAGTTCGTCCCTGCTGGTAGATGCAGTAACTACACCATTCTGCAAGCATATTGATCTTTTTTCAAATATCCATTTTTCATACTTTACATTATAACGTTGTAACACCTAAGTTCAGTTTTAACTTTTAATTATTTGATTTTTTTTTACTTTTTTAAGACAAGCTTTTAATATATAATTTTAATATTGGCTGTTTATTGGTTATCGACCATAACATGAAAATAATTACCAGCTTTTTGGTATTGGCCAGAATTTAAATATTGTTGTATCCCAGTGTGGTTTTACTATCATTCAAATACTATTATAGTATTTATTAATATTTATATTTAGCTTTTATTTTAATATTTTTAGTTTTCATTTTCATTTGTTTTTGTTATTTTTATAGGTTTTTTAATTAAATAAAATCTGTTTAGCTTTATTTTATATCAATTTATATATTTTATATATTTAGTTTTAGTATTATTTACTATAATACTATTATAGCATGTATTAATATTTTGAATGAGCTTTTTTATATTCTCAGTATCATTTTAATTTCTTTAATTTGTGCTTGTCACTTTTTATTACTTTTGCTGTTTAGTAATTTTACTTATTTCAGTTAGTTTCTTTTTGTTTTAATGTTTTGTCATCTAATATTTATATTTTATTTTATTTCAGCTTTATTTCAATTAATGAAAATGGTTGTAATAGTTTTAGTTAAAAAATAACATCACTTTTTCTATCCCTAATTTAGGCTAAACTAATTTAGCTACTTTTAATGAATAAAGCAAATATATTCAAAATATCAAAAATATTTTATTTTTCAATGGAAAAAAAGAGATTCCAGTATGACGTCCCATAACACCAATCCAAACATTCCAACCTAATTTAGAGAGCTCCTTGGTGAGGACACCATGCAACCGATGGAACTGGAGCTTAATGCATTTAGAGTAATGCTAACGTAAAGTGAAGGATCTCAACAGAGTACATTAAATTAAAAACTCTTAAATATTTAAGGTGCTTTGCATTTTGCCAAAAAAACTTACATTTCAAGTAAAAATCAAGCAACCCTGTTGCTACCTCACCTCACCATTTGCTATGAAGGGACACTATATATACATGCACTCTGTAGCTGATGATGAGCACCCTAGACACAGAGAGTGGACACAGCTGAAGCCAGCCCTTCTGCATGACTGCCTTTAGGCTTTGCAACTAAAGAGAAAGTGTGATTGTGTGTGCGTGCTTGTGCGTTATGCCCTGGCTGAAGCGATGCGCACCTGTTATCCTTGAAATAAATAGAAATGACACCAGCCTAAAGCAGCACCTCTTTCTCTCATTAAGAGTGATTAATCACAGGAGTAACACATAACTGGCAACGAAGTCCTCAAATGCACACTGTCAATGTCTTGCCACAAGGTCATCAAAGGGGAAAGTGATGCAGATACCAATTCAAAAGCGTTAAGTGTGGCCTATGCAAGATTTAAAGCCAATATGTGCATCCTGGAGCGAACAACATCCGCTCCAAACTTTAAATGGCCAAACTGACTTATCTATTACCTGAGATATTGGACCGCATGTTCCATCCCAAAGAATCTGCACCACTTAGGGATCTTACAGCAAGCAAAGGAAATTATTTTCCCTTCCATTTCTCACTCTCTTTATCCATTTTCTAATGCCGTGCTGGGGGAAACTGGGTAAATATATAAGTAAATAAAATAAAACACAAAAGCAATGGGGGAGAAAGAGCTAAAGATAAATGTCTGCACCTCACGGGTACGGCGCACTTATTCTGAATCATTGCAGCGGCTCGCGACTGCTTAACGTTTCATTTTGGAAACAGGGATTTATAGAGGAAGGGAATTCACAGGCTCCGATACGCAAGGGAAACTTGGCGCCCTACCTGCGCGACTATAAATAAGATCCTTCTCACTTGATCACACACGGAGCCAGAGAGGAAAAAAGGGATTTCGCACTGCTGGCCAGGTAGACAGTGAGGGTGAGATGACCATCTAGAGAGCATCAGAGGCTATAATCTATTTAAAGTGGTTTATTGCAAATGGAAGCCAAACATAGACAACATCTTGCTTACAAGGAATTGTTAAAACGAACGTGCTGTAATCTGTTCAGACTACCTAAGGATTCAAAGCATTGTGATGATTCACAGCTATAAAAGTAAAAGCCTAGTGAAGCATCTGAGAAGAGCTGAAATGTGACTAATGCCTAATAAGTATTAATAATAAGTGTACACTGATAGGTCTCTCAAAGTTCTCAAGGATAAAGTGTCTTTTTTAAAATGTGCACAAAGCCTGGCGCTTTCTGGGTGATAAACAACAAAGAAGGTGTATTTAAATTAAACAGTGAATGCATGTAGCACATGCTGAGGGCATGTGAAGTTATAAACCACCTCACATCCTACTAACTAATCCATAATAGCATTTATCTAACCGAAAACACGTCCATCAAATGCATATCATCTTCAAAGTGCCATTTGATCACGACTTGATGTGTTCGAGCATTATAAATCATATTCTCAAAAAATAATGGCGTTTAATCTGTGAGAGGAAGAACCACCACCACAACACCTGTTGTTCATTATCCTTTACAAGGAATTAACTGTTGAGCAGTGGCTTTCAAATGAGCCATCAACATTTTAAATGCAGGAGGCCATAATGTCTTTTTCACCCCCAACTGACTACCACTGACTATCTAATGCACATGCAAACAACATGACAATATTACCTGTCCATTAGTATTAACAGCCTCAGGAAACCAAAGTCAAAACTAAAAGGCTGATAGATAGCTGGTTATTAGTTGGTGCAAGCAGATCACTGGAGGCTGGTTGACCATCTTCAATGTCCCAATAGCAAGCTTGACCACTGTAGTTCCAATATGGTCATCCAACTTGATCCAGCTAATGACCTCCAGCAATAATGTTTGAAAACACAACTACCGCCTTAAACTGAATAGATTTACTTCTTTACGAGTGAATTTGGCTCCATTGTTTGATTTCAGATAGCTATTTTATTAGTCTTAGTTTGTTAACCAATTTCGATGCTTTAATTTCATCCGTTTGAAGTGATAAACGATTAAAGAGAGACGCAGTCAATCACTTGTATTCGGTTATTTATTAATATTTATTGGTCTCGTTTATTTAGTTTTAAGTGAATAAAGCGGCTCTTTCGTCGTTAATCTCTTGGTTTATTTGTTTGATTGATGTACGTTGATCTTGTTCATTGTTTAAGCTCTCTGTAGTGAGCGGATAATTAATTTAGCCTACCGTTAATTGTTTATTTGTTGGTAAACGGTTTATTTCGTTTTAGCGAACTCAGATGACTAGATAGGCACTGTTTTAGTCTTGAATCGTTTATTTATTCGCTCATTAACGGATTCTTTGCTGTCTTTAGTGAATGGAGAAGGGCTCCGTGAGTCAGCCCGTCGTGTGAATGTCTCCTGATGAAGGGAGCCAAAGGAGCGGACAACTTCAGAGCTGAGCGGAATGTAGATGCGATCTGAGACTGAGTTTGCTCGTGATTTGCACCCACCTGAACCCAGTGCATTAGACTGAATCACACAGTAAACGTTCGTAGAGTAAACGTTCGATGCATCCGAGACATCGCTACTGTGATAAATAAATAGAAATAAATAATAACATGTATACTGATCTCTATTCTGCTTGTCATGGCATTCAGCTTTAAGTATTGTCTCAGTGCAACTCTTTCTGCTTAACGAGTTGTAAAAACATGCAATGCGCTCACAAATTAATTTCACAATTTTCCCGACAATAAATTTATGAAAAAACTAAGATCCAGCTCGAGCGATATTCCTGAACATAAAGGAATGAAACCTCTCGCGCCTACCTGGGAAACGAGGAATGCGATGAAAATGCGGGTCCCGAACTCCATAGTCTCAGATCTGTGGGAATAATGTTCAAAAAAAGATGCTGGTCGGACCAGCGCTGTTCATAATTCCAGAGTCGCGAGAGTAAAGCCCCTCTGCCTCGAGCTGCCAACTTCCCAAATAGAACTGCAGCCTCGTGAGCAGAGCATTGGAGTCCACCACCAATAGATTTATGGGGGGGGGGGGGGGGGTTTTGACACGCGCAGGAG